CTTTAGAAGAACGCACACAGCCTTATGTGCAAGGTTCTCTCATCCCCCTCCCAACTCCCTAGAGCTGGCACTGCCCTCAGTAAGTCTCAGCAGTGGGGAAGGCTGCTCCGTCACAGTGACCAGCCCATGGTGTCACGGAATTACAGAGCAGGCCACGTGCTCTTCTGTGGTCGCCTGGTGGCCTGATTTCCTGCTTACAGCATTTGACAAACCTTAGTTCCTCAAAAATAAAATTCTTAACTACTCTTAACTTGAATAATTTTTTTACAATGTGCAGAAATAGCAATACATAAGCACTCCCTCCCCTTTGAAAAACCTATGTGATATTCTAACGTTTCCAGGGTTAAAAACATCTGAATTATCTCTTTTTAATCATCTCTGAAGATATGTTTCCTCAATAGGAAGTAAGAGATCATTATCGGGGCGGGGGGGGAGAAAAAGAAAAACCCAGCACCACCGTACAGTTCTTCCTAGTTTCTAAAAGGGCTTATAAAAAAAAGAAGAAGGGGGAAAAAAAAAAAAACCTATGCAGAAATAAAGATACTATAACAGTTTTGCTACAAAAACAACAAATGTTTTTGTATTTTTTTTCTGAAAAGAACATGCAAAGTGATTCTGTTAAACTCCTCTTCTGTATCTAAATAAACCCATCTCTAGGAGTCAAACTCTAACTACTCACACCAAATTCAGAACCCGATTCTCTCCAAAGTAAACCATATTCCTTTACCTGTCACATTGCTGCATTATGGAGATTTCCTTGATTATCTCCTGCAAGTCTGATTCCACAGGAACCTGCTTAATAGCAACAATCTGACCGGTCTCTTTATGAATAGCCTTGTATACGCTGCCATAGGACCTATAATTAGGAGAAAAACATTCAGAAAGTCAAAGAAGCCAATAGACCAGAAGGGGTAAAATACAAGCAACTCACAGGGCTCATTTATATCCCCGAGTTCTAACACATACATATCTAGCTACGCTTATAAAACTGAAAAAACTGAAGTAATACTTTGGGAAAAAACTGCCAAGAGAACCACCATAGAATGACATCTTAAAAACTTAACATTAAGCTTTAATGAATGAGTTACCATGAAATAATAATGATCGTAGCAGCAACCATGTACCACACACCTGCTGTCTGCTAGAAACTGCGCATCATCTCAGCACATCCTCACAAAAGCACAAGGGGCATTATCCCCATTTCACAGGTGCTAAAGGGGCAGGGACATGGCATCTTCTGACCTCCTCTACCTCCAAGAGGAAGACAGAATCACCATCGGCAGTACCAGGTCTGTTCTTACGAGGCCTGACACGCCACCACCCTCCAGCCCTCTTACCAACCCTGACAACAACCGTTCCTCCCACGGCACCCACCACCTCTCTGCTGGGTTTGATAATTTGCTGCAGCAGCCACACAAAACTCACAGATTATGGGGTTTATTAGGGAAGCAACAAGATACAGTTCACGTTCAGGAACACGCTCAGTCTCTCTCAGCCGGCAGCCTCCCTCAGCCAGCAGTCTCTCTCAATCCCTCTCTCAGCAGCACATCTCTCTCAGCAGGCAATCAGAGAGATTCCTTTCTGCCTCTAGGAAGGCTCATTTTGAGCTTGGCAGAATGGTAAAAACAATCAATCCCAAAGTCAGAGTTCTACACGCCTGAAAGAGAGCAAACTTCCCAGAAGAATACTTCGTGCTGCCCCAGGTGGATGACTTTACAAGCAGCTACTCAGATGCCCATGGCAAAGTGGGAGTGATAAAGACTATGGCTAGCAAAGCCATACCACTACACCACAACAGAAATGCAAAAAGGCTCAGAGAGATCGTATGACTTCCCAAGGTCACATAAATAAGTGGTCAGTGTAGGATTTAAACTCAGGTGTGTCCGAAGGCCTGTGTCCTCTCCATAACTATACTGGGGTATAATATCGAAGTATCATCTCCTGAAAAGGACAGGCCAAACCTCAATCTCCTCCTCTGTAAAACGGGAACAATGATACCTGGCTCATAAGATAGTTGCAATAAAAACTTTGTAAATTACAAAGCACTATACATATACTAGGAGCTCTGGTGGCATACTGGTTAAATAAAGCATTTGATTGCTAACCAAAAGGTTGGTGGTTTGAACCCACCAGCCACTCTGTAGGAGAAAGATGAGGCAGTGTACTTCCATAAAGATTTACAGCCTTGGAAACCTTA